CAGGGTTTCTTAACCTGTGGTTCATGAACCCCTAAGGGGTCCATGAGTTATATTTTGGGGGTCCGCTGACTGCTCCTAATTTTTAAAACGTTGAGAAGCCCATTGCTTGTAAAGCGAGCTATGGCAGCTATAATTCCGTTTGCTACAGTGTATCTTTGCGAAGCGGGATTTTCCACACTTGTGACAATAAAAACATAACATCGATTGAATGTAGAACATGATATGCACGTTGCTTTGTCGAAAACCATCCCCCAATTCAATTTATTAATTAAGGAAAAGCAGCAGCAACCTTCACATTAAAAATTTTAATTTTAAAAAATTTGTATACTATTAAAATAATAAAATTAAATGTTTTCTAACAATTGATGTTTTTTGCAATTTTTTTCACAGGGAGGTGGTCCGTGTCTTCTTAAAAAATTTTAAAAGGGGTCCATTATATCAAAAAGGTTAAGAAACACTGGTGTAGAAGTTATTTAATTGAATAAGTTGAACCTTGCTTGTTATAATATCGATGGCAGAACGCTAACAGCTTTTTTTATGGGTTCGAGATTCATTTTTGCCCTAAAATTCAGACGATCCCCGTCATTAAAGAAATCATCATCAATCATTAAAGAAGAAACATTCCTGGCGACTATCTGGCATGTGCCACTTTAAATTGCAGTTTGTTAGATGATTTTACTAGATTAAAAATTTCATTCGCTTCAAAAACATGCGAATTAGAAATAACAGTCAACTTGCTTCGAGTACTCGAAAAATAGGCACCTATTTTCAAGACTTACTAGATGTGAACGAGAAGAAACAAAATTGATTTGAAGCGTTTTATTTTTCAAATAGCTTTTGCTTTTCCTCTTTCATGTCTAGCAAGTCTTGAAAATTGATACATATTTTTTGATCGCTTGAAACATCTCGACTGTTATTTCCAATTTACGTTTTTGAAGCAAATGAAGTTTTTCTTATCAAATTATATCTTACCGCTTCGGTTTCTGGAGATTATTTATTTAATAGTTTGATAATGGTTTCAAAATTTGATAAGAACATGCGTTGAATAGTATATGAGGCGCAAATCTGAAAATCAGCAACATCTCTTATCCCTCAGCCTAACAGCAGGGTGCGTAGCATTTTTTAAAAAGTGCTTAAAGGTACTTATTTTTGATTTTCGTTTTTTAAAGGTCCTTAAAGGTGCTTCTTTTATTCGTGGTTTGTAAAAAGTGCTTAATTTTGTATCTTTTAAACAAGATTTTTTTCTTTGCCTTGTTGATTGTCGTTCAAAAAATGCATGATTTTCACAATCTTCTCTGCAATATTTATCAAAAACTATCCTATTTTATCCTGATTATGTAAAGTTTTTGAAAATGTTTTTAATTTTATTGATTTTATGTTTATAAATTGAGAACTTTAAATGATAGGGAAAAAAATTTATTTTTATGACTGCACAGATCGTAATTATGATTTTTTATTTTAGAAAGTGGTTAAAAATATTTTTAAGTGCTCAAAAAGTACTTAAAATGTGCTTATTTTTTGTTGAAAAATTCGTCTGCGCACCCTAACAAGGAAGCTAAAACATACAAAATTAAAGAACCTAGTACTTTGTGTGCTAATGAAGCTTTTTAATTTTTAAAAAAAAATCAATTTGATCTATGGTTTGGCTTGAGAAATTTTTATCTGAGGAAAGACTTTGGTTTTAAAATTATTTCAGATTTTGTTGTTAATGTTATTATTATATGATTTTTGCTTTTATCAAACATATTGAAAAATTATCTATAATTAGTACTCAAAAATTCAATGTCTATATATAAAATAAAACTTGTACAATTTAAAATAGAAGGTGACCAGAAAATACTTGAACTATCCCAAAATTCAATTTACTCCTATTCTCTCAAACAAACAAAAGTAATAATTCTACAATCAACAATTTAACCCAGGAACTATATGTATGACTAATGCTATATTTTTTTATCATTAAATCAAATTGTTTTTACTAGCTTCATCATTTTTAAAGCAAATGTAGATCTTTTTTTTTTTTTTTTTTTTTTTTTTTTTTTTTTTTTTTTTTTTTTTTTTTTTTTTNTTTTTTTTTTTTTTTTTTTTGTTTGCTTTAATGATTGCGGTATCAGATTCCAACCTACAATTGAGGTAAAAAATTCCCGCAAGTCTTTTGTAATTGGCTATGTGTTATCATGTCACTCTCTTCTTATGTTATATAAAGAAATGCTAAAAACTATTTCCTTTTAGGAGTAGAGTAGAAAGATACTATAAATATCTATAAAAACTGTTTTTCAGATAGTAAATTAAAATTTGAATGTAAAAGATTTAAACCTTGCACCACTTGTGTAATCAAATCTTGTATTGCAAACATTTTATGCCTCAACATGATTTCAGTTTTCTTCATATTTAAATTTTTATCCGCATCATTATGTTATTTTCAAAGTTACAATTTCTGTACCATTTTTAATGGTAAACATCTTTACCTCACAAATGCTAAAATAATAATCATAAATTCATTTAGAACCTAGGGAGTTTGAAATTAATGAGATAAGTTTGAAAATACGTGTTGAAAGAAAGTAAAATAAAGAATAAGTTATACAAATTTGAGAAAATGTAATGTATTAAATGTTTATCTGATAGTAATTCAAAAATATTGTTGAAACAATGACACAATCATTTACTTGCTAGTGACGTACATATTAATTCTCAAACCCAAAATGAACAAAATTAGACACCAACAAAAATTAAATATTGTTGGTTATGTCAGAACATGTTTGTCAAATTATATTTTAAGAAGTACAGTAGGGAACCGATTATCCGGAACGATCGGGACCATCGCTATTCCGGATAACTAATTTTTCCGGTTTTCTGAATTGCTACAAAAAGCAGGTTTTTTTTCATTGTTAAACCCAACTTAAAAAAAAAAGAAATTGTTTGGAAATAATCTTAAAAAGAAGAAAAAACGATGAAGTAATACTCTAATGATTATTTCCGAAATGATGGAAGGTAAACATCTTTCAAAAAAGAAAGAAAAATCCTAAAATCTTATGAGGAAAAAAAAAAAATTTTTTTTTAAATGGCGGGAAAATTTATCTAATTTCGTTCCAGCTTTTTGGTTTTCCGGTTTTCTGATTTCCGGATAACGGGTTCTNCTTTCATATTTTTGTATTCTGTGTTTGATTACTATATAATGTATGAAATACTGCAAATTTATTCTATGATTAAAAAATGATTTGTATCATAGAAACGACTAAAACTTTACAAATTGATAATACTTTAAATTTTTTTGATATTTTTAACTAATTAAAAGATTTAGCCCCTGAGAGACTGTTGATTGATACATTATTTATTACAATACTATGTATTAAATAATTAAAAAAATATGTAAAAATTAAAACATATAAAGTATTAAAAATATATGAAGTAATCATGTATCACATATCTTTTTTATGT